AGAGGATGGGGAGGATGAGGAGGCTGTTGTCACCAGGCAGGCATCGGGACAGCACCGAGGTGCTCATCTTCAGCGCCTGCTTTTGCCCGAGGTCAAGTGTGGGCTCCCCACCAAGCGCTGACCGCGCCAGCTGCCTGCCAGCGCATAAATTCGGACATTCAAACCCAAACCGCTGCCCGCCTCCCCCCTCCCAAACCAACAAGGTGTTGAGTTGGTTTGTTTGGTTTCTTTTTTTTCTTCAGATGTCTCCATCTAAATTTAAATCGCAGACATCATATTACCTCGTTATTTTTAGAGCAGTGATTACTCAGTGTAGTTTACAGCCTTGCCTTCCCCCCCCACCCCGCATCATTACTCTGTTTATTCCACCCCACATTTGCCTTTCTCTCAAGAAAGAACGGGTAGGACGAGGAAAGTGGCAGGGTTTAAAGAGGGGCAGATCCCGGAGCCCCCGTAGCACCTTTCCCCGAGGACTCGCGTACCCAGCTCGTGTGGGAACTCCTCGCAGAGGATGGCCACGGAGGTGCTGATCCCTTGGAAGACGGAGACGGTGAAGGAAGCCCCGATGGCCAACCCATCGATGAAGTTGTGGAGGCCGTCGCTGAGGGTGATCATCCACGCCAGCGTGCCGATGTCGGAGTACCGCACCTCCTTCAGCCCGTAACACGAGACCATGGAGTTTTCCTGCCACAGCCCCCCGACAGCGGGGACTCAGCACCCAGCCGGTCTGGGCCAGGGGGTCACTGCTCCCTCCACCACCCAGGAGAAACCCACCCCTCCACGCATTAAATCCACGTGAGGCTTGAGCCGAGCCCTTCGCTCTCCACCACCCACAGAGGATTTTGTCAGGGAGGTGCAATGGGCTTCAAAACTGCTCTTTTTCATTGACAGGCAGTTTTTGATTTGTTTTGTTTTCTTTTTTCCAAGTAACCCCACGGGAGAAGGCACTAACCTGGACAGAGAGAGAGCCCACCACAACCTTCTCATCCCCAGAGGGGGTCTTGCACTCCAGCTCGCTGGTTATGTGTGGGATCATGTGGTCCAAGTCCCCATTTTGCAGCTTCTCAGTGACCCCCTCCTCCTGATCCT